CACTTCAAGTCATATGAAGCCGACAGCGGCAGACCGAAGCCTTTCAACCACACCAGAGAGTTCGGCCCTTTCCTGGTTTTTGTTAGAATTGAGAGGATCTGCTACTCTTTATCCACTTTGAAGGAATGTCCCAGCTGCTCTGCCAACTCTCAGCCCCTGAACTTGTCTGAGCAGTATCGACAATTCGGTGCTCATCAACCATTTGAGCTTGGCACACAACCGTGCAGCATGTTCAACAAAGGCAGTCAGACAAGGCAGAAACACGTTGCAAGCATTAGATTATGGAACATGTGAGGAGAAAAGATCACAGATCTGAGCAGCCAGCCCAGAAAAGATTAATTGTTCAAACTATGAATCGGGTTAGAACTCATGTCAAAATGCGAAGCCCGGAGGCATGGTATGTACACTTGGGCCAAGTGTGTTTCCTCTCCCAGATGGTCCACATGTGCATCTGACTGCCATTGCACCGAATACTTTTCTGACGAGTCAAGGTTGAGGAAGTAGACCAATGTTGGACAGGTCAGCTGCGAACATGCACATTGAAACAGTGACGCTGGGCGCAAAGGCTCCAAAGCGTTTTCCAAGTTCTTCCGTCATAGGAATGGTTGCAAACACAGTGCAGCCATCTGTTGCATGTCACCACTCCAATCGTTAGGATGAGAATATAAAGTGAAAGAATTTACAAGAGACACATTATGTTATGGAAGGAGAACAAAAAAAAAAGAACAAGCAAGTGGAACCCTGAAGAATTGTGGCTTCTTGTATGGAAAGACCAGGACACCTTGATAGGAAGCTAAAAGATCCTAAACCTGTCAGCCTGTTTAATTGTGGAACTTCACACAATCTGAGGAATCTATGGAGACATCTGATTGGCCATTGTGGGCAATGGGAGTTTTAGGTCAGCTGTCGCAGCAGAGACTCACTCCACCTGTAATCTCTGTAGCTCTTCCAATTGAGAGAAAGGCGGACAGCAACTTGGACTGTTCACCAGCCAACTGTTGGGCATTTATGAATGGGGCACTACGTTCGAAAAATCCGATACAAACTGCACGGAAATAGATGGTGCGTACCATATGCTACAGACGACCTCTTGCAGAATGTCGTTTTTTTTTTTCATAAGCAGGTTATTGTCCAACTAAACAAAATCTGAGAGAAGGTCATTATAGCCATTTTATCCACCCAGAACCTCCTGTGAGCAAAGGGATCGGGCTGCGAAAGGTGAGCGCAATTTAGAAACAAATGACGACCATGGTCCTCGTCATGGCCATATAATTGTGTGCACGTGTGAGTACGTGAGAGAATGGACATATTGATTTATATCATAGTGGTCGAAAGGTTTTTTTTTTCCAACCTGTGCATGTACGTTGGACAACATTCAACTGTACTTGGCCTCGTTTGGCTCACTTCTGCTTCGCAGAAGAATAAAATAATAGCCCAGAGGTTCAAACATGTATTTTAAATTTCTCAATTTGAAAAATTACTTTGGTGCAAATTACAAATTAGAGTAATAGGATTCATGTTTTAGCTGTTGCACTAACATGGCCAACAAAGCCCATGCAACTACGGTATTTTATGTGTTGTTACGGACAATGGAAATTTCCACTAAACTGTGAACCTCGGCCAGAATCGGATGAATTTGTGTATGTTTTTGTTGACGGTAAATATTTGTGTTAATGTGCATTTTGCCTTTGTCGTTCACAACACTCATTCAAAAATCAAAAGGTCCAATAGTTTTGACTGAGGGGGGGTTCAGCTGGTTGTGGGATTTAATTTTCAGTTTAAGAAACAACAGAGTGAGAGAGAGAGAGAGAGAGAGAGAGAGAGAGAGAGAGAGAGAAAACTCCATCTGTGTCTAAACAACCCAGGGACAATACTGCCAGATGGACAAGGACAGCGGTTCATACTCCAGACTTACTGGAAAACAAAAGCTGGAAGATTCGCTTGACTTTGCCAAGGGATGGCTCATCAACTCACACAGAGAATATGTCAGGCTGAGACCCAGGCATGTAGCATGCAAAACTGATTAGAGACAAACAAAAACTAATAAAAGCCACAGCTTAACTTTGATTGCTTTTCAATTACAATACTTCGTGGGAATATTGGCTAAGATTATGGAGATGCGAAGAAAATCTGCTTACATCATTCAAGAAAACCTTTTAGGAAACAATTTTTGCAGTGAGAAAAAAAAGCTGTTGTGTATGTGTGTGTGTGTGTGCTGACTGTGTGCAGATTTTGGAGAGCTAACAAATGGCAAATCTACACAAAGGTTTGGATAGGGACTAGCTTTATGATTTAGCCATTACACACTGTTGCAAACAGTTTTAAATAAAACACTTAACATGTTTAGGTGGTGTCGACTTGGAGCATTTGCCTGCAGGAATTACAGACATGGACAATACATGTTTTTCCAGTTTCAAGTTCTGAACTACGTCGGTACATTTGACACGATTGAATCAAAAAGAAAATTGTAGCCATCGATTGTCTGCAACATTTATCCTCACTATGGTCACATGTAAACTGGAGCCTTTAGCAGCTGTCTTTCAGCAAGAGGCTGAGTACACCTTAAACTCGTCACCGGTCAGTCACAGGGCGCATACAGACAAAAAAAAAAGATTCACAGGCAATGGAAAATGTTGAGTCTTCAATGAACCTAGTACATCCATCCATCCATCCATTTTCCGATCTGCTTTATCCTCACAGGGGTCGTGGGGGGTGCTGGAGCCTATCCCAGCTGTCTTCAGACAGTAGGCGGGGTACACCCTGAACAGGTTGCCAGCCAATCCCAGGGCACGCATAATGAATTGAAAGTGAGTCTGATTATGTCACACAATTTCTGATGCATATTCTTCTCCTTTCTCAATCATCTCTGAGCATGTCTTGTTGAAAGTCCTTCTTTCAGAATAAGGGTCACGAGTCGAGGTCAAAGTTAATCCTATGACCTCGACTCGTGCCTTGTCAGCAAGCTTGAAATGCCACACTTTGGGCAATTACAGCATCAACGAATTAATCCACCTTTGAAGGAACACAGAATAGATGATGGCCTGCAGTTGCTGCTCATCAAAAGAAGATTCTTTCCTGGGTTCAGTACGTTGTCAAAACTGGATACTTCACAATTAACATGATATTTTCAAGGTTTTGCACGAGCTGTGCTAAAATTCACTGTAGTCACGCTACTCACTTCACCAGCTGTTGCCCTGCATAATAGTCCAGGTCAAACAAGGAGCTTGCCAGAGGAATGCGGCGTCACTACTGGGCTTCAACAAAAGAACGATTGGAGGGCTTCTCAGTGTGCACAGGTACAGTATGTCAGTGCATCATCACTGATTGCAAATGTTTCTACGAAGCCGGCAACTCATGACAGAACCAGAAATAACGATCCCCATTTGGATTGCCAGAGTTGAAAAATTGCTGTTGCTTGCCAAACACTAAGAGCAACTACGACGCTACAATGGCAAGCATTTGCAGTGCTGACGGTATCCATCCATGACCCACCCATTTGCTTTGCCGGTAATCCTCATTTGGGTCACACATGAGCTGGAGCCTTTCCCAACTAACTTCGGGGTGGTTGGCAGTCCTTCCCAAGGCACAGAGAGATCAACAAGCATTCACGCCTATGGACAATTTCGAGTGTTCAATGAAGCTGCTGTTTTTGGAATGAAGGAGGAAACCCGAGAAAGCAAAATGCTTCCTAATATGGAACAGCGCTGGGAACAATGTTCCAAAAAAGCTGGAAAGGTAATTTATTTAATTTAGAAAGAGAATTTGCATTTGAATTGTCATGCACATTGTAGTGACAGCGGCATGACCTACATATATGAGAAAAGTCTCGGTCAACACCTTACAATTAATCATTGCCAAAATCAACTTCCACTGAATACAGCATTGGAACTGAACTCATTTACAAAAAGTGGCTGTCCTGCCAATCTCGGTTGAGGGCAGGGGTGTGGTACTCCAGAGGGACCATTCTTTTATCAGGTCGGTACGACATTTGTTTGCTTCCTTATCTGTCCGAACACATATGCTCAGATTGTATCAGTAAGTGCTTGCGGAAATTAAACGATGGCCAAAAGTCGCTAAAGCTACTGGTGAAGTGTAGACAAAAATACAGCAATGGAAAATATTTATTGTACAGTACTGGAGAAAAGGGTCCGACTTGGAGGCTTCCACATATTGTGAGGGTCCGACGGTAAAAAAACACCATCAGTCCACTTGCACCATTGTTCAGCAGGCGTAGATGTTCGCTTAAACTTGACTAATCATCACACACTAATGCAACAGTGATGTAGAGCAGTACAAGCTATCTAAAGGCTCACGTAATCAAGATGTATATAGTGGTCAAGTTAATGTAAAGCGGCAAGACGGTGATAAGGGCAGCTTGGTGACAACTCCTTGAAAGGATGTTTACCTTTGTCTAGTGGCTGGGAAATGAGTGTGAGAACATAAATCAGAGTACACAGCTTTATCCACCCAATAGATGCACTCACTGTAAATGGTCAGGAATTCCCACCCAACTAAAGAACAGTATCGGTACAAAGCTTTTAGACTCTGCTATATGGTCAGTGAAGAACACCACATGCAGATCAGTCATTGGCAAAAATATTAAAATTCCACGACAAGGTTCTTTTGAAACAAACCAGTAACAACATAAATACCACTGCACGATCTAATGAAAGCCAAACACAAGAGCTGTATGACCATATTTTAACGAGTTCAGATAGTAATGCTCAGTTTTGATGGATACTCTTGGAAAGATCTTTATTTACGATGAGGGAAATGTTAATAGTTTGACCCCCATCATGGAGATAAATGAGGTAGACAAAATCTAAGAAAGGGAAAAACAAACAATATCACAAGTAGGAAGAAAGCTCCCAGTGACCCTTGTGGGGATCAGTGGATCAGAAGATGGATGGAGGAAGAAATTTAAGATTTCTTAACACAGTAAGAATGTATTGAGTCTTATATTGTGGCTGTTTCAACATATTTTAATTGTATAATCTTACCTGGCTTTGGTCCTTTCCCTCCTTGTCCTAGAGGGAGTTAAAAAAAAAAACTTTAAGGTTATATTTTGGCCTACATTATGGTTTACAATACAACTCACGAACGATTAGATTAGTTCAAACATCAAGAGTGAAGTAATTTTAGAAATCTCAAATGAAATATTTTTCTGTCCCTATAAAGTGATTCATTAAAATACATTAAATAAAGCTGAGGCATTTCGCCGAATAACTCGCTCATGATGGCAAAGAGCAGTTAACAGGTCAATCAATAATGCATTACAATGGCTGACTGAAGATTGCAAATCATTTTCATTGTTAGGCGCGTTGCTATCCGTCTAACTATGAACCTTGGTGGGTTGCGTTAAAAAAAAAAAACTAACGAATGCTTGAAATAGTTTTCGCCCTAAGTATGACTATCAAGATGGTTGGCCAAGTTCACTTCATGTTTGACCTTCAAGATTTATAGTATTGACACTGACTTTCATGCGCACTGGCAGTAAATTGTTGCTGATTAAGGAACAGTTTTCCTACCTGCTCCAAGTCCTCCAATACCAAATCCAGTCTGGCCAACGCCTCCTGGCACCAGACCTCCTGGTCCACCGCCTTGGCCTCCACCTCCATAACCACCTAATGACAAGGACAGACACCGACCAATATCTGATCATCCATATTGCAGACAATATGATTGTATGTCATCATGTCATTCTTAAATTGTAGTTTTGAGAAAATTGTACATCCAGTATGGCTTTATTAATTAAGATTGAGTAGTAGTTGTGCCATTGTTCAGTTCTATCACAATATCCTTTGAAAATAATTGTTGGGTCACCCGATAAAGTCGCGATTCATTCCTTGTTTTGGTCAGAACATACACTGCTGATTGCACAAACTAGCAGTGGGGGGGCTTTCAAAACTTGTACATCTATATAACTTTTACTGTTGGGTAGCGCGAGATATAAAGAATGGCAAGTGCAAACAGATGTCACAATGTGTGGCCAATGCAGTTATCAGTCCTGGAAAGTGTGCTGGTATATAGTTTAATTGTACGCCGTATATCATGAAAGGGGAAAATGAGTTTTTGTGGCTTTGCAGGACCATAGCTACGATTGCCAAATCATTTCCATTAAACTGTAATTCTACATTACATTTAATTTAAGTTCTGGTTCACTTTTATGCTTTATTAAGTTCTTTTTTTAATGTGTATGCGTCAGCATAGTAAAATGTCTGATCTACAGCGGCATGGCTTAGCTGCAATGAGTTGCGGCTTGGGTAGTTTATTATTCCAAACTATCCCAGCAGACCTAGAAGCCTTTGTTACCTGGAAAAAATCCAGTTCCTGGTCCAGTGCCTATCCCCGCACCAGGTGGTACATACACGCCTGCAACACACAGTCGAAGAGCAAAAGGTCATTCTTGGTCACCTTCACGTATTCCCCCAAAAGTTAGAGAGCAATGATTGAAAGATTTGATTACAAAGCCGGTAACAATATATCGGATGACCATTCAATGACCCCATCTATTGTACACACATTCCCAAATCCATTTATCTTTTTTGACCCAGACATTAGAAATGAAGTTTATCTCAGGTCATGACTGCGACGGGCTTACATCGAAAATGAACAGCTCCTGTGAGGATCAAGATAAAAAGTTTAGCTTCAAAATGAGACAAAGTTGAAGAGAATGTTTTAGCTTTCATTTAGATGAGGTATTGAATTTGGAAGAGTCATTTCAGAGAGTTCCACACTGGACCCTCTCAACCCACCCCTCCCGCAGCACCCCTGGTCTCCAATCTTATCCGATTCCTAAGGGGGTCAGGGAACAACAACAGGAATAAATGAATGGGGGGGGGGATTTTTAAAAAAAATGACTTTGTTATGGGACAATAAGGGATGACATTCAAAATGGCTGGTGCATGACTTCAGACCCATGTTACAACATTCTATGTTGAGGGAAGAAAGCTGGTTTGTATCTCCACAAACACACCACAATGGAGAGAATTGTGCCGAGGGAAACACAGTGATTTTGTTTACTGGTCCTTTACATGCGCTAGGAGGCCAATTAATTAAAAGCACATGTCAAAGGTGCTTGTGTGTTTATTAACGCATACTTGGTGAATGCCGCGCTTTGTGCTCTGTCTGCATGGACACCGGGGGCAGTGCAAGAACATTACAAGGCATTAGTGTCTGAACCGGCAAAATGAAAATGTATGACATAAGCCACTGAAAAGTGCCAGAAGAGAAATCCCAAAAATGTAAACATGATCCAAGGTACTACAGAGGGTTTTCACTCATAAGTTGTGAAGTATTTGATGTTTCTGCCACAAATAACATCAATATTATTTTTATTGTCACAGTTGAGGTTAGTATGAATTTGTATGTCAACACTTAAGAGGGCAACTATTGAAGTGGCAAACTTAAAAGCAGAGTGAGAAGTTTATGGTGTGAAGAAACCCCAATATACACTGGACATTGTTACAAAGCTAAAAACAATATTTTTGTTACACTTGATGACGTTATATTTTTGTCTAGGAACCAAATTGAGTGCACGTACACCAATATTTGGACACACTTGCTCCTGGCATGAGTGAGAAATATATTTCTTCAGTTCAAATTACTGTTGTTGTCTTGTTTCGTACTTTTATGACCAATTTGACAAAATGAACTTATTTGAACAATCACACACACTTAAAGGCACACCTTTGCAATCTAAGGCGTTCCAATCTTAGTCTATAGTTTGTCAGTGCCACTGCCACCGTGACAGATGTGTCAGGTGCAGGTACCACCCGGACAGGGTGGAGAAATTGTTCCGTCGTCACACAATCAGAAGGATTTCCTGTCTGGGCTTTGCTCGCGAGGCAAGAAGGAATGCGTATGCCCCACTTTTCCTCCGGTTGTGGGCTACTGGACCAATTTAACAGAGGTTATCAAGTCCACCGTCTACAACCGAGCCTAATCTGCGTCAGAATGTATTAGATGAATTTCATCACAACGAATTTATTCAACAATTGACTTGGATCCTTAAATGAATAATGTTGGCGGGGAAAATAACTTGGCCACTTAAGCCAAAATTCTAACGGGTGATCTTATCTGGACGTTATTGTAGAGTTCTAAGGGCCATGTGTATTACTCATGTGCTTTTGGGTCATGCTGTGTTAAAATCTTGGTGAGGCTTAGGGAAATATGTTATGAAAGTACTTGTAGTTCCGAGTTTGATCAATTCAAACGCTCTAACACCACGGACGTGAGGTCGGGGCAGAAAGGGAAGGCAGTGCTGCCCTGTCGTCACCCTTGTTTACCTGGCAAGAACCAGATTGATACGTGAATCACTCCAAGGAATTCTCCACAATATCAATCTGGCACTGCTCCAGTGTGATCTGATCGGGAGAGGCGGGGACATTCGACGCAATAGCTTGGCGCCGTTTGGCCGAAGCGGCAACTTGTGCACGCCTACCAAGTTTTGTTTTGACCAATCCCGGCAACGGATGAAAACGTCATCACTGGCAGGTGCCTTGTTTTGACCAGCTGAGTCCTGTCATCTTGATGATTGTCACAGATGGCATCGTGGCTTTGAGTGATAGTTGTTGTTTTTGCAGCGTAAATATGCAGTTAAAGGGCATCTTAAAGAACACAATGTTGATTTTTGAATCAAGGCGATTGTCAACCGAGATGTGTTTTTGCCAAAGCCGCATATCCCACCGCCAAACATGGTGTTGCTTTGTGACTGGTCCGCCCGGTGCAAATCAGCAGGGTAGGGGGGGATTCCGTTTGCAGGCAATGTGAAGAGTAAAAAAAAAAAAAAAACAACAACAACCTAAATATGATTACACTAAATTATTTTAAATTCTCTGGTCCGTGCTTTAGATTTAATTTCTTTTTCAACCTAATAATATCATAGTGGTCGTGGTGCCTCACCAGTAACGAGCCTCGATGCACATCAATGTATAACACGTGCAATCTTATTTAAAGTGTGTTTGGATAGTCTGCTAACTCTAATTTTGGGTTTGAATACTTGCTCAGACCTCTCTGTGAGGAGTTTGCTTCTGTACTAATAGACATGCTAAATGAATTTACTAAATTGTGAGTGTGGATGGTTGTTGTCTATATATGCCCTGCAACGACTCACGACCAATCTAAGGTCTACCCCAGGTCTCTGCTTAAAGTGCTCCAGCTCGCCCATGACCCTCAATTGGATGGATAGATGAACAAACATTTTGCAAACTGTATCATACATTTACTATCCGGGCATCAGCGTATCTATTCTATTTTCTATAGGGCTTATCCTCATTTGGGTGCGCTAGTGTCGATCACAGCTGACATGAGGCAAGAATAACTAATTGAGAAAACAATGTTTTACTTCATGTGGCAGGTACATAAGGTACATATTGGACCCACATACTGCATGAGGACTAAGGAGCAAAGGGGTTTGGAAAATTTCAGTCACAACCTGCTTTGTTTCCAAATCAAGTCATAGCGATGATGGGTTTTTTGGGGGAGGGGTTTCCCGCAGTGCCTCCCATGTTAATGAAAGTTTTCACAATTGCACTTTGTGACCTTTAAGAGTGCAGTTTTTGCTTCATTTAAAAAAACAAACTCGTGACTAATGGGCCATTTCTGCCACCCAATGCTGCGGTTGTGCAATAACCGCTCACGTATTAAAATCGCTCAAGAGCTGACGGAACAGTTTACACACACACAAAACACATGCACATTGCTCACATGGGCGATCTCACACTAGTTAATAACAGTGTTCTCTGTACAATATTTGTTTCGGCCAAACCATGCAGCCTCAGGTCCACGTTATTAGGAAAAGTAACAAATGACACTTACTCAATCCAGCCTGTTTAAAGATTCAAAATAAAATGTTTAACCCACAAAACTACAGATTTAGAACAATATTCACACTAATCCAGAACCTCAGCCCCGTAATGGTGACAGTGTGTTCGGTAAATCTCTCTAAGCAGAGCACCCTTACGATATCAAGCATGTGACAGTTGTCCAGTTGTCCTACTATCTTGTCACTCCTTCCAAGGCCCGCTGAAAGAGGAAGAGCGATGGCATGGGGGACACGTAATGTTTAAAAAATGTACGCACTCATCTTATCGTGACACTCTGATCTGACCCTACATTCTGACAGCGCATTGGTGTGAGCTATGCACTGGAAAAACAAACGTCATAGTGGTGTTGAGGTGATTATGTGTGTTGGCTGACTCTGTCCTAATTGAACTGGAAAGGGGACACTTTTAAGGCTTCGTTTACACTGTCGGTCTTTATTATCCAGTTTCAATTTAGTGGCTACAGTGGACCAATATTACACATTCAAAGGTCCCAAAGGTATTATTAGCCTTTTGGAGTTGACCACCATTTGAGAAATAAAATACTGTCTAAATACAAATGATTGACCAGCAAACATGTCAGGATTTTAACCTACTTTTGGGATTCCACTGTGTGTCCTGTTTTCTTTGACTTTCTATGCAGAGGTGACAAAAGCATTTGCACTCTAAATTGAAGTTGGAGTACATATACTTGAAATACATACGTGTTAAAAAAAAGCCTGACAAAAATGAAATTACTATTACATTTAGGTTAAAAAAAAAGTATAAAATCTGAAATGTATTAAAATACAAAAGCAAAAATGAATTTTTACTGTCAATGATGCACTTTGTACAACACCTGTTTCAATAATGTGAAGAAAGGAAAAACTGAGTGCAAAATAGTTTCTCTTTTATTAACCTTTTGGACTGAGAAGAAAGGGAAAAAAAATCCTCCAAAATAAATATCTGAATAAAAAGTACAGTAGAGTATTTGTGCTTGGTTACTTCCCACCACCGCATCTAAGTTTTGTAATTCATTCTATGTTTGCATTTCCTGAAAAGCAGAAACAACCTGCATGCATATGCGGCCAATGAGCAAGTAAGCAACGACACACTTGTCCAGAAAACAAGGGGAACACTGAGCAACAATAGTACAAAACATAACATTACAAATGGATGCAGATGTCCACCCTATTTAATGCTCTATGCACCGCAGAGTTTTGTTGTACTGTACTTTTTTTTTTCCATTGCTGTAATCTTTGGGGAGACTTGCGCGTATGTCATTTCAATGACGTTCAGCAGGTATATCTGATCTCTTTGCTTACACTGCGGTCACATTGGCAGATATCAAATGTTTTTTTTTTTATCTGATACAACCGAGACCTGATTAGGATCTGAGGATACACAATTTCATGCGTTGAATTTACAAACGCATACTGCCATTACTCATATCTGAACTGGGCCATATCTGAACTGTCTCACTTGAACCTTGATGTAATGCAGCTTAAAACTAAATGTGGGGAATTTAATCATTACTGTTTTGTTTAGTTGGACATGGCAAAAGAATAA